AATAAGTTAAATGATAATACAGATTAGGAAAATCTACAGATATAAATTAACATCATTTCTAAATACAGTAAAATAAAAATGCATTAAGCATTTATTAAAGTATATTCCACTGCGTTTCCTAATTCCCCGGCCATAAAACCCGATAACCACCGTTTTCGTAGGAAAAAATGCAGGTTGTAGGGATTAATGAGTGATATTAAAGTATATTTCACTGCGTGTCCTAATTTCCCGCCCATAAAACCCGATAAATATCGCTTTCCTAGGAAAACATGCAGGTTGTAGGGATGAATGAGTGGGGCTACATAAGCTACTGTTGCCTTCTCCATGAGAACCCAGTTGACAAATGTGCCCTCACATTCCGCTGCTGTTAATGGGCAGAACCCCTGCTGCTAGCGCAAATATGGGTGAATTTAAACATAGCAAAAATAGCGAGATTTATTGGATCTTTTCCCGTTTTTTGCTGGCTATAGCGTTTTAACTTTCTTAACTTATCGATTAGCCTCTTGGCCATTTCTTATGATCTTGCTGTTTTTACCAATTTTGCTGTTGGAATTCAGTCAGCATTTTCTCTTACGTCATTCGCTTTTCGCAACGGTAGGCAGCTACTGAAGAGATCTCTCTCTCGAAATGCCATGGATCCAAATAAATCTGGCTGTTTTGGCTATTTTTAACTTTGCGCCTGGGAAACGTTGCTTTAAATGGGTGAATTTATTATTTTTAGCGGATGAAGGAAACATGTCCCGCGTCTTCACTTGTAATGATGCAAATGTCAGTTTTCACGACCATCCATCAACTGTCATACAGAAGTAGAAAGCACACAAGTTGGTCATGCATTAACAGCATTTCCAGTACGGCCATAGCGGCTTAATTTTGCTCCGACGATGCGTCTCTTGTCCAATGTTAGGGTGTTTCCTGTGTCAAGGCAATCCGTAGCCACTTCGGGCATGCATTGACCATTTGTCCGAAGTGGATATGCATTGCCTTCACAGAGGACAAAACTTTGCATGGGACAAAAACACAGCGTCCAAAAAGGCTGAGCATTTCTTGAGGTCATGCCCTCTGATGATCCATGCATACGCCGAAAATTTACTGGATACATTTTCTTAATTTTCCCAATGGACGCCATTGCTCCTCTACTGTATTCTCTTGGTCGCAATTGAACTAAATTAAGCCACTATGGCCGTGCTGGAAATTCTGTTAATGCATGAGCAGTTTGCATGTTTTTCAACTTCTACACAGCGCATGATGGATTGTCGTAAAATCTGACGTATGCGTCATTTCAAGTGAAGACACGGAACATATTTCCCTTATCCGCTAAAAAAGAATACATTCACTCGCATTTTCGCTAGCGGCAGCGGAGGGTGAGGGCACATTTATCAACTGAGATTTCATGGTGAGGGCGTGGCAGGTTGTCGTCAACTGCTATTAAACAAACAGCAGCCTCTTCCCAACGCATCTCCTTTATTTTTATAATAACTGCGCGTTTGTGCCTCTGTGTGACAGCCACCTGCGCAAATTGACGAGCCCAAACGCTGCTTCCCGTCTTCGCTGATCGCAAAAATTGACGTGTGCCCTCGTAAGGGCAAAGGCAGCCGCCTTCATGCAAACCTCCATCCAGACGCCCATATAGCCCGCGCA